ATTGAAGGGGTACCACTTGGAAAAATCTCAGAAAAATAGAAAAATTTTTTTTGTTCTTTATTATTAGCAATGTTCTTCTTAAATGAAACTAACACTGTAGAAGTTGAAACAACGAAATATTGATACCGAGTGGCATTGATTTTCGTATCGCTGGAGCTCGGGCGGGCATAGAAACGCAGAATCGTTCGGTTCGCCGATGAATCACGCCAATGGCAATCGTTTCCTTCGCAATAATGGCCGTAATAATGGAGCACGGCCAGATCGTTCGCCGCGATTACGCACGCGGTGCGGTCTTCTTCGCGGGCGGAATAAAAGCGGGGGAGAAGGGGGGAGAGGGAGGTCGCGTGTGTTTGCACGCGCGCTAACGCCACCCGCGCGTAATTGTCTTAATGACATGGAATTCTATAATCGCGTATAACTGCCGGGCAGAGACGTTAATTAATTTTGCCAGCGTCCCTCCGGCTGCCGTGAGCAAACATCGTGTTAACCTAAACAACGTAACTGTAAATACTGTGAAGAGGTTTGTTAGAAAAGATAAATAGTCGAGGAGTATCGGATTTAGGCGTTTTTGTCCCAGCGTATCGATGCTAGTAGTTTTACGGTCCCATCTCGTGAAAAGGCGCGAGGGAACGAGAGATCGTCGGTGAGGAACGGTTGCCTGGAACTGAGGAATTTGTTCGATTTTCCATCCAGATGTCGACGCGGCGAAGGCCTCATTGGAGAACGTACCGGGGAGCATGTACGAAAACGTATGCGTGCCAGATTTAGGTGATTTCCTGGGATACCGGGTGCCGACGACGCCGGTTCAACAGGTAGCCACGCCGGAACACAAGAGTCCAGCGACGCCAGCGAGTTCCGCGGCGGGGAACTCGTCGGCCACGCAAACCACCGGGAACCAAACGGCGACCCCCGCAGCGGCTGCGAACCCGTTGCAACCACCTTCCACCGCGGTCCCCGTGTCCTCGAGACAGTATCATAACGATGGTAAGTCTCTCTCTCTCTTTCTCTCTCTCTCTCTTTTCATCTCTGACTGCAGACTATTATGGTACAATTAGTTTGCTGGGAAGTTAAATGCAATAATTCAGCTGAGGAACGTACTGCGAGGTTTGGAAAAGATGAGTTGCCATGACGAAGCTAGATTTTAATATTTCATTATAGTGATACATAAATTTCATCTATCTTGTATTTATTCTCTGATAAATTCCTTTAGTTTCAACAGTTTTGGACATGCTATTTAAAATTGTCTTAGGAAAAGGCATTCACGAACTGTAACGTTTCCCAGCGCTCGGCCGAATAGTTACATTCTCCAACAGTCGATCGAGTCAGTACGTTTTTCGCTGCTCTGCCGAACTGTTATCTCTACCTGCGCTCGCCCAAGTAAGTACGTTCCTCAGCACTCGGCAGAATAATTATACGTCTTGCCTCCCAGCCGAGGAATTCTCTGGCTCGCGATCAGATTATTCCACCGTCGATATTCGGAATAGATCCGAGATCGGAAAACGAGACGAGGCGTCGATCGCGCGACAACCCGGTTTATTTATTTCCCCTCGTTGCGAGCGAAGGAAAGCGTTGCGAGTCGTGGCGGTCGTACAGAAGGAGTAGTTTCTCATTGTTACGTCAGGGTGGCTGATAGCGATCTCTCGGCAACCGCGGGTTTGCACGTGTGTTGCCACAGGTCTCTCATTATGTGCGTTCGCCTTCTCGTTTAACCGTTCCGTCGTCCGATCGTCAGAGTCCTCCGAAACGAAAACGAGCAGGATAGAATAGTAGGGACGACGGGGAGCGACAATCCGGCGCGGTCGCCGATTTCACCGAGAAATTTTTCGCGGTGTCAGCTTAGAAATCGACTCATTAACCGAGACTCCTCTTGACGCCACGGGGCAAAGGGTTCGCCGATTGCAATATATCTCCGCATCGCACGGTGCGCAATTCAACGTGATTCACCTTATTCTCCGCGTTTTCATCGGCTCAACTCTCTGACGCAACTCATTCAGCGGCGAAGGACTCGTCGTTCCACAGGCGAACAATGAAAAACTCGGCCTGGGAGTGGATCATCGTCCCATTCATCCGAACGAGCAATTTATTCCCATCCTGGTTTTTCCATCGGTTTCCCGGTTAACTGACCGTCCGTCTCCGATTCTTATAAATTCTTAAATTAAAAATTCTGTTTAACACTAGATTGCCCAAGGAAGTCATTTTAACTGCTTTTGGGCAATATAGGTATATACTAAGTTTCAGTCTTTCTAGTGTTAAAATGCATTTTGGGCAGCAGTATTCTTCTATCGCTTATCTGAGCATTAAAGTATGCGATTGACTTATCTCCAGATAGTTTTATCAGATAAATGCATAAATATTGAATTATGAAAACGCTCTAATACAAATATTAAAAATATGAAGTAGAGTGTATAAAAATTAACATGAGACGAAATCGTTTGTATGATTTTTGTTGTAACAGTTAAAAAGCTGATATTAATTCAGCGTTGTTCCACTCAATTTCTCGTGCTCCTAATCTGATTCGATTAACTGCTGCACGGAAAATTTCAAGTCAGTCACTCGGTTTGTTGAGTAATCAACGTCCAAGCGACGTTCGCGTGTTAGTAGGGATGGTTCGAGCGAACCAGAATCAGTGACACGCCCGTCAAGTGTACATACACAGGCTAGACCAGCGGCTCGAATAGAATGGAACCGAGTAGAACATTACGAGGATTCGTAGCGTAGGTAACAATTACCTAGCCGGGGGTCTTACGTCATTGCAGCAGTGACCGTGGGTGAACGAGGGAAAGTCGGCCCTCTGCACGGTTCGCCGCGGACAATGGAGACGCGCTGCGCCTCTCTCGACATCCTCGCGTTTAGTCTAAATAAAAAAATCTACTATCTTCCTCCACTCCCTATTGCCTCGGTTAAGAAAAACTTTTGTAATCCTAATAAGTAACGAGCCTAATTTCTGTTTACAAAACTAATCTTACAAATTTCTGTTTGTTAAATGCAACAGTTTTTATTCAACGTTTTATCGAGAATCTTGTATTAAAAAGACTTTTTATCTTTTCGAAATTCATCTCCCGTGATTATGTTTGTTTCTCATGAATCAGAGTCGATCTAATGAATGAGTAGATTAATGGAATGAATTATGAGAGTGAATTCGTGAAAGAGTCGAAGGAAGGCGCTCGCGCGCATTAACGTAATGCAGGTACGGTCGGTTCCGAGAGGAGGAGGTCGAAAGCGAGGATAAGCGAGAGTCGAACCAGAGACCTCGAAGAGCCGCGATACATAACGTAACAGTGCTCCGGCAAGCAGAAATAATGAGTCTATTATACGGTCGCCTGTGTTGGTCGTCGTCTTGCAACGACACGTTATGTACGTTCCTTACTTGATACAGTTCGCCAAACCCAATGAAATTTTTACCTGGCATACTCTATGATGTATCATCTATTTAATTTACGTACTCTGCTTTAGTACAGACATTTTTAATTCGATTCGCGACAGAGAAATCTAACTAAAGGCATGCTAGTAGCACCGATAGAGATATTATTAAAGAATGGCAACGTCTGTGTAATCGTTGGGACAATGAATGGGGCTCAAAACATAGTAACATTTAATAGCTGACAGCTAGAGTTACAACTTTTATTTAAAACATTTTGAAGAAAAAGTTTTTGCAACAAACAAATTTATTTATTTCATTATTGACGCTATCGAAAAAATTTTATATGGAAGTTGTAGGCACTGACGTTCTCTACAAAAAAAGGTTTTTGAACCTTCTCCCAATCTTGTTATCAGAAGAATTTTTTGCTAGAATGAGAAAAATTTGCAATGAACATTTTTCTTGATTACTCTTCGACAAAACATTTAAGGGACACATACTTGAAATATCATCGTCTCGTGTCTGTAATACAGTTCAGCTCGAGAAAGACGCTAGCAACGAGTATCAGAAAATAACCTGAACATATTTAATCGTAAATTGATTTTAATTAAAGTGAACTTTAAATCAAGCCAAATGAGATTATCGTTTTATATTTATTCCAGTCAAATCGGACGAGGATAACATTTTGGAGGATAGCGTTTCGACTGTTCGGTCACGAATGCTCGTCGCACGTGCACGAGCACGTAGCCAGTTCTGCATAAATTATTATTACAGAGGCCCGGTCCGTCGAATCCCGTGCGCGCAAAAGCGATTCCCTACGGTTTACTGACACTGACGCCCCGGCCAAAAAAGGCAGAGAGCCGCGTCGTGACGCCATTCGCTACGTTTATGGAAAGGTTAGTCAATCGTGCCGACGATCACAATGATTATTTGTTAAGCAACCACCGCGTGATAAATAATAACCGAGGCCGGGCACGCGGCATTTCGATGATCGCCCCTCACGGTTCGCCCCTCGGCGGTTTTCTTCGGCCACACGAGCCTCGTCACCGTTCCCCTTCGATCCTCCTTTTCCTTCGTGTTAAACCAGCCGCACGTGTACGCCTTCGGTGAACAGAAAATCGATCGGTGAACATCTTTTCAATCGGAGCTTCAGGTATTAAATGTCACTGGGATTAAAAGGGTTTTCTAGTGCTCATAAAAAGATCCCAGAAGCGATCGAGTATGGATCGGGTCAGGTATAGCATTGGAACTTCATTAATTAGCGACAATTCGAATCTGGAGAAATCGAACTGTCCGATGATACGACCATGTGCCAGCGCGCAGAGGAGAAGAGAGTAAGAATGAAAGGTTTGTAGAATTGTGCAAGGCCGGGGAACAAACGATAAAGAGGGATGAAGGATCCGTCGAGTAGGGTCGTAGAGGGATGAAACGATCGACGAAGGGGGGGAGGTTTCGCGCAGGTTGTATTCATTCACTCGTTCATTCATAGTTCGTGCACCACCTCGGGGGCCTACAAAGCCTCTAGCTCATTCAGAACTCACGACACGATCACGCAGCGTCTGTGTGCGTGCGCGTATATTTTTTTTCTCCGTCCCTTCTTCCTGTTGGTGTACGTTCGCCCTCGACGACGGCGTCGCGCGACGCCGTCGTCGTCGCCGTACTACAAACCGTGTTCGTTGATTGGTGGCTCGCTTCAGACTTAAAAAGAGACCTGGATGGATAAGATGATAGAAAGAAAAGGTTTAAAGAAAGAGAGAGAGAGAGAGAGAGCAAGCGTGGACTCACCTTGAGAGCGGAAGCCAAGGCAGGCCTCGGTAAAAGGGAGAGAGGAGGAGGAGTCCTACCCCAATATTCCGGGGAGCGAGATAGTTTTATAATGTCCTCGAGTGCTCCTCCCTTAATGCACCCCTAAATGCAGCCTTCGAGAACTGGCTATGCTCATTCTTTTCTCTATGTACTACGCGTGCACGACGTATTGTTGCTCACTTCGAGAACGTTCAGAATCGAACAGATGCAAGGAGAGGTCGTATAATCTCGTCGGACCACTTTCAGAACGAGTACGTTACGGTACGAACTGTTCTTAGAAATTTTAGTCTTTCTCTTAGATTTCCATCCCGAGTCTCCGCGTCTCCAGAGATTCGAACACGTTTCAGAACTTCAGATAACACGGTGTTGTTTCTACTGTTAGCCGAGGTTTCCGATAGCCTCGTACGATTTCAATCTGAAGCCTTATCTAGGAGGACACATGGTCTTCGAGGAACGTATAGGCACTAACAATTTTTCAATATAATGTTCCGCGTTTGTGGAATCGTCGAAAGTGTCTCCTTGAGAGTCTCTCGATCGGTCAACCCCCTCGGTACGACGCAAGGACAAAGGGCGGCGTGGCATGGAATAAAGGAAACCAGAGGAGTAAAATAAAGTGGGAGGCACGGCGTATAGCTGGTCGGAACGAAGGCAAGGAAAGCGGAAAAGAGAGAAAGAGAAAAGTGGCACGGAACAAGCAAAAGCGTGCAGAGAAACGGAGGCACAAGGCGCATCGAACTCTCGTGTCTTTATTGTGCGATGCTCATAAGTCCCATTACTATTGCCGACGGACTGTACATACGTACGAGAAGCGAGAGAGGCA